GGCCTGACGATGATTTGCTGAAAACATATGTTTGCCAATCTTGACTTCTCAATTTTAATTTTACAAATCATTTTGACTAAAACTGTGACGTTTTTGCCACAAAATGCAGTAATAAAAAGTGTTGACCGCATTTTGTTTTACCGCATCAAGCATTTAGAAGGCAGTCAAAACTGGGCATATATTACCATGAAGGTGAAGGTAAAAGCAGACTTTATTAAATCTAAATTGTGTATAAATATGCTTTTTTGTACAATATAATTTCCGCTTATGTGTAATTTAGTATCAGAAAAGATAGCTTAATAAGTACTGCAATATTTCAGTAGAAATTCTGCGAACTTTTTTGCATTCGCAAGCTTAAAGTAGAGCCTGGAAGCAATCCACTATGGCGAAAAATGATCCAATATAAAGAGGGAATTAAGTTCTTTCTTTTCCAGCAAAACGGTAACATTTACTTTAATGTACATTAAAAAAACTGTTGAAATTATTCATTTTAATTTTGATATTAAATTGGACAAAGGTAGCATGCACAGATATTCGTCAGCTGAATATCGAATTAGAGCGCATTTTAAAGGGGTGACACATTATACAGGGTTTTTTTATTATTCTTATGAATAACAATATCGCACTTCTGTTGCAAACGTCCTTTTTGCCCGAACATGCGTTTTGCTGTTTGGAAGAGTTTCTAACTATGACCACCTTCACTAGGACTTATATCCAAAAACTCATTTTCTCGATTAATGCTTGTAATGGATGCCTTATTTTAAACGTTTTGGCACGAACTTCGAACGGAATCTACGTTTATGAAACAAATCTTGAAGACAGAATATCTTAGAAAATTTGTCGGAATTCAAAGTTTAATTTTGTATAGATCAGTATATTTGAGGTAGATGTTTGTGGGCTAACTTTGAGTTCCCTATTTTATCTTTGAGTAATTGTAATTAAATAATGGCTGTTTGTTTAAATTATTTTGAAGGGGAAAAATTTTTTGATATGAGGAAAGTGATAACTTTATTCATTTAACTTACGAAAGGTATGAAATTTATTGCTCTAATTGATGGCTATTTTTATGTCTGAGGAACTTGGACGCTACTAAGAAAAATTATTCTTTCTTAGCTAACAATAAGTTTTTCTTATATTTCTTTTAAGTAGCAAACTTGCCTAGGTTTGTTCAATAGGATTTCGAAGTTGTCATACATGGCTTGAGGCTGGTTTACGGGAGATTATCAATCTTTCGCCGATTTCGGCATTTTACACGAGTTATGCGCCGTACCGCACTGTGTGGTACAGCTGTTTGCAGCTAAGATGGCATGCCATAGTAGTGCCAACTTTGACCATAATTTATAATGATAATAAAGGGTTTAGAAGAAATCTCAAACCATTGACATCCTAAAAGCCAATTTAGAATTAAGTATTTTTTAGTGACGCATTTCGCTGCATATCATATAGTATGTGAAGTATAG